AGCTCACAGTTTTGGAACAGAAAGGGGGTGGAAATCTTTGTTCTAACCATCCTTAGAAATTGAGTGTATAAAATATAGATGTGAAAGTGCTATGCAAGTATCTCTAATAATTCACCTTGATGATGTCTTGGACCAGGACTAAATGGTGCAATGACAGGGAATTAAAGGGTACTCTTTGCCACATAGCAAAAAGAGAAGAATCTATATATTTAGTTTGATATGTGACCATAATAATAAAATGAGTGGCTGCAAAGTCAGTGTTTATGCTTTCAAAACCAAAGTCCTAGCTGGTTATTCACCACAGAATCTCAAAATGTTAGAGATTTTGTGGAAATTCTGTCCTGTATGAGTCTGTCATTAATTGATTCAAAATAATTCAATTTTTATTTTCTGGGTGTCTAACATTTGTCAGGCAATTGCTAGGCTTTGGAAAGATATGGTGAACAAGTCTTTAGTTCCCTGGGGAACACAGAAAAGTAAGGATCTATAATTCAAAGTAAAATAGCAGGTACCAACATATTATGGTAGGAAAGCACATGGGGGCCGGGGCAAGGGAAGTAATCCAGTTTTAGGGGGATGTGGAGGCTTCCTGGAGGAGGAAATTTCACACGAAAGACAGGTACAACTATGCAAAAGCCCATAAGTGAGAGAGACACTGTCCCCCTCCAATCACACAAAAAGTCACGTCTATCAGTTACACAAACTCCTAGACAATTAGCAAAAAAGATATTTTAACAATGAGAATATGTAATAAAATTCCACAGAAACATGAATGAAAGCTATAAAAAGTCTAGGTTATACCCAAATGTTGATAACTCTACCTCCCTACATAAGTATGTGCCTTAGAGTCACAGGGCTTGACCAGCGCCCTACTCCTCACTCCCAGATTTAATCAAATCAGACTTAATTAGGCAGCAATTGGTGGAATAAAAAGCTGGTATGTTTACTGATATTCTCCATCATGATAAATTAGAAAGGTATTCATGATGAAGAAGAAAAACAACCCGATTAAAAGGAAAGTACATTCAGCTAATCGTAGAGCTGACTTCACAAATCATAGGTTGTAAAATGGCATCTGGTCAGCAAACATGTTCTATTCAACTTGGCAGTGTCCTAAAAAGTCAGATCCAGTGTGTCTAAAAGGAATGTTTCCTTTTTTAAATATGCAGAGTCCAACTTGAGGGGTTTTTTTAATAATAACTACCCACTTTTGACCATGTAAGATCCCTAGTTTGCAGGTCTTCACCACTCTGTACTATCTCTCCACAGCACAGTGAGGCTTTTTCTCCCTCTTACTATCCTTGTACTTAAAGAACTGCTTATAGTAGACAAGTACCTATATTCAGTTTTCAAAGGTGAGAAAATGAGAGCAAAATCAAGAGAACTCTGTGTGTTTTCTTCCATATGCCTGCTTCAATCACTTCCCTTACCTGCCTAGCCCCTTTAAACATCCAGATTGGTGACCCTGGATTTAGGCCATAACTCCATTTGCCAAATGGCACCAAGTCAGTGTCCCAGGCATGGCTAGGTCTAGAAAACCAAAGGCAAGAGCAGAATATTTACTCATCTATGCACTGTGCCTTGGTCTGGCATCAGTGCTAATTTGGATCCATTTATACAGGCCTAGATTCATGTCTATAATCTGCTACTTGGTTTTCATAGAGAAATAAACTATAACAATAAGCAGCTTTTTAAATTCTATCACTCAAGAAAGTCCCATTTTTAAGTTCAGGGTACTCATAAAAGAAAGAACCATAAAGAGTAAGCAATGGCTCATAATTGCAGGACCAGGGACCTTTAAGGGACTTGGAGACTCACAGTGTTAGGACTGGTGCTGGAATGCCATGTGGTAGGGAAACTGAGTAATAAATGGTCCATGTAGCACATCCAGCAATTTTAGACCTTTTGGTCAGGACTGAAAATGCTACCACAAAGGCTGCTTGATAGATAGTAGGCTCTAATACCCATTGTCCATTTGCAGACAGACTGGCAGTTCAAATTCAAGGTAGCCATTAGGTCCAGTGTGAGCTAAGAAGAATACAAAAAACCCATGGCCACAGAAAAGGGAAAAAAAATCCCATGTATGCTAAAGTCCAGAAAAATGTGCCTAGCACAGTGCTGGGTGCTTGATACATATCACAACCACACCAAGTTGTCTCCTGATACATATCACAACCACACCAAGTTGTCTCCTGAAAAATAACCTGTATCCATCCAGTAGGCCTTCCTCTGGACAAATGGTCAAAGCAAAGTTACCAGGGGTACTTCTCTCTCTTCCCCATTTATGAAAATTCACCCAGTTTCTCAGGCTAAAGTTCAGGGGAGTAATTGTAGATTTTCTCCTTTCCCATACCCTCCAACCCATTCAACTTTTTCCCTTTCCCATTTCCTCTAACCCATCCGTAACTTTTAAAATTCTACCTCCAAAATACTCCTGAAGTCCTTCCATTTCTATCCATCTTCTTACCCACCTCCCTGGTCCAAGCACCAGGACTCCCACTTGGACCCCAGCAACAGGGTCCTAACTGGTCTTTCCACCTGCACAATATTCTGTAGATGGCAGCCAGAGTGAGCCTCTCCCAGTATAAAGCAGATCATGTCACACCCCTGCTCAGACTCTGCAAAGCCTTTCCATGGCAAGAGAAACAGAAGGCACAATCCTCAACATGGCCCTCCTGGGGCCTCCTGCGCTGGCCCTGACTACCCCTCCAGCCACTGCCCACCCTCCCTCCAGTGCACCAAGCCCACCTTGAGGGCCTCAGATACATGCTTCCCTCTGTGGCTATTCATCCTCAGAGGGACCTTTCTGACCCATAAACCCATATTTTGCACGCTGTTGGTCTTTCTCATAGTGTACTTACAATCTGTCTTTAGACATTTATTTGGGAGATTAATATCTGTCCCCTCACTAGACTATGCACTCCACCAAGGCAGGGGTTATATCTGTATTTATCACAGACACACACACAGCACACAACCAACACAAAGCAGGCACCCAGCAAAAATGCCTCGCCCCCATTTTGGTTAATTCATCCCCCACCTCAAAAAAAAAAATCAGGAAGCCAACAATGATTTAATCTAAAAAACTATCATTATCTTAAAAGCTATCATGATAGCTTCTACACAAAAACACTATGCATAAAAGTGTTATACTGTCCACCTGTCCCTCTAGTTAAATACATTTTCTCTAGATCAGTACCGTGACAAAGAAAAGATGCATGCACTGCTGCTCTGTCTCCCAAGTCCCCCACCTGATACTTTCCAAACAATTTATCAATCATTAATTGTGGCAGTGACCACACTTTCATCTTTTGAGATCCATTTTCTTGTATTCTGCCTAGCTCACACTGGACCTAAGAAGGGATGGATGCATAAGCATTCTCCACAATGTTTAGCTTCATTAAGAGAATGCTACACACATGGCTAAATTCAACACAAAATAAAGACGGTTCAGCAGGTGACTCTAAGCAGGAACCTCACTGCAGGGACCTCCTCCCAAAAAGGCACCCACAGGCCAGGAGAGCAGATGACAACTCTGAGGGGCTCAGAGGAAAGATTTCATTTTTCTACTGCTACTGTAGAAAATTGTATTTGCAAAATGAAATAGGGATAAATTCTTCTAAGACACTATTCTAAAAACAAAAAAAGAAGTAGTACAAATGTTTAAACAGGAGCTACTATATGCGTGAATAATGAAAAGCTTCATTTCTCCCAAGTATTTCTAATTCATTGTTTTTATTTATTTTGCTTAAATACAATATAATATCTATATTTATACTGCCTGCCATAAGGGCCCTTTTGAAGTATGTGAATAGTCCATTGGTTTTTTTAATGGGTCTAAACAATTTTCTTCACTTGGATGTATATTCCCATAACTATCCTCTAAATATGTTTACCAACGCTAAAGTAAAAATGCTTTATAAACTATAGAACACTATTCAAATGAAAGAGGGACATCTATATATCTAAAACAGAAAGCAAAACACTACCAACAACTCACAGTGAAGCCTTATCACTGAGATTGCTTCTTTCTAGCCAAGTTCAACTATATCTTCTCAGCTCAGATTTTTTATCAGGGACTGACTTAACATGCAGTTCCCCCTCTGGTCCTCCACTGGCTTCCCTGTTACTATGACACCTGGTTTTCCTTCCCCATTGGACCACTTCTTGGTTTTTCTTACTGACTCCTTCATTGAGTGTACCCTACAATCAGGAACTGCTCTTACCCAGCAGAGTTCTCCCACCTCGAGAAAACGCTTACACCAATCCCGCAGGTAACTGCGGTGCTGGCCCAGGTGAGCCCAGTTCCGCTGGCCCCAACCTCGGTCCATCTCGGTGAAGAAGGAGAAGGAGATTTGGGCGGCAGCGTCCCTGTCGCAGTTTGGGGTAAGGGGACGAGCTCATTCAAACTGTCAGATACTGGCCAGACGTCCGTCCGTCCTGCGCTCACTTCCTCTGCTCCGACACCGGGGATGGGCAGAACTTGGGGAGCAGGAAAGGGGGTGAAGCGATGAAGCTCTCGCTGGGGTCTGGGCCGAAGCCCGAGTCCCTGCACACAGGACAGTTGTCCGAGGAGGGGGAGAAGCGGGGAGACTGGGGGGCGGGGCGAGACGCCGGCCCCGAGAGAAAACAAAAGCCAAACGCCAACTGCCCGGCGGCCTGAGAGCCGACTTGGGACCCCCTGGAGTCCCGGCCCGGCCCCTCGTCCCGCCGAGCCGGCTCCTCGGCGCCCAGGTTGCGACGCCCGGCGCCCTGGCCCGACCTGGCTGCACCGCACCCGTCCGAAGTGAGCGACAAGTGGGGCAGCGCCTCGCGCGGGGAGCCCCGCGCGCGCCCGGCGGGGAAGGGGAAGGAGCCAGGGCTCCGCACCGCCGCCGCCCCCTGGCCGGGCCGCACGCCCCTCCGCCCGGCGCCGG